CTTCCCATGATCTGCTAGGAAAATTCAGAATCAAGATGTTATAAAATACTTCAGCATCAATAAAACAGAGGAACCCAGTGAATATGTTGATAGGATGTCTTCCCTGACTTTGTGTTCTCAAACCATTATAAGTGTTTGGGCTTTGTTTTACCCTTGGTAGAACTTCACTGTTGCCACATTGTCCTGTCTTTAGCTGTGGAAAATGCCCAGGAGTCTGAGTGCTGTAAAGACTTCACAGCATAGGCAGGTGCTTCTGAAGGGACCTGTGTTTTTTCAAGAGCCTGTATGTATGGGTCAAAATCTGACAAACAACGTGGCTGCCAATTGAGACCAGTTCTTTGCAATTCATTGGAGCAAGTTTAGATTTGTACCCTGGGAACTGAGAGTTCATTTTGGGTCATTAGTTGGAATTAGGTTTTCCAGAGGTGTTTGGACCTGAACCCAGATGAAAACCTGTGTCCCTGCAGAGGCCTCTGGCCTATGGCCATGTCTTTCCCCCAACATTCTCTAAAGGGGAGACAGAGACATCGGGTACCTACGCTACCTTGAGGGTTGGCACATTGATGACAGTGGTGGTCCCAGCTAGAGTCTTCCTGCTGGTTGCTCTCTGGGGGAGGGTGATGAAGTCAAATGTCAGCATCATGAGTGGTGGCCGCAGCTCCTTCATATGTGGATTTTGAATGTTCTGGGTTGCACTTTAACATGGACAGCTGACAAGAGCCCTAAAACTGAGGTTGTCTGAGCCAAACCAAGTATCTGCAAGTCTGGGAGGGACTGGAAAGTCTGAGGTTTGTCTTTTTGTTGTTGCAGTTAGTAGCAAAACTGTCTTGATTTCTGTTGGCTGCAGAATTAAGGGAGTGCTAAGCTCTGCTGAAAATGGTACACATGTATCACATCTCTTCTATCAGAGGCATGCACTGTATTTCTGTTGCATTGTATTTCGTAGTGGTGAGCATACTCAACGTGTTTGGTAAATAATCTTTACTTTCAGCAGATGAGCTTTAGATGAGCTCCAGAGGTAGCAATACTGGTAGATTAAAGATGATACCTTTCTGCATTGACAGATGTACTGAACATACATCAGTGCTACTGCAAACTCTGGAAGGACTAACAAGAAGTAGGTCCTTACCAGGCATAGGACAGCACTACAGTGGCTGTCTTGTACTGTCTGAAGGATCTGGTGCTGCATGTGGAAGTGTCATGGTGTGCAGTTTACATGTATTCTGATGCTATATGTGCCCCAGAGGACTGAGATGATAGTACAGTGTGGGGAGTGAAGAGATGTTATGAGTTACCGGTGTGTAGGCAGGGAACACACAGTGTTTCTTGCAGGTGATGGAAATGTGCCTCTGCTGGGAAAGTCAGCCTTTTTGCAATTGTATCCAAAACTGAAAAATCAGATTGAGGCCTTATTGGGATTGTCCACGTGCCAGACTGCCATCCTTTTCTGACTAGCTTTCTCCAAGTACTTGAGGTCTTGTGCAGTCACATCCTATTATTTGTCAGCCATGAATCATCATTTCTTTTAACTGGCTAAATTGAGGAGCAAGGTGCAAGGGGAATGACCCTTGTTAATCAGGGCAGATGGGTTGAAGTAGTGGGTCACTTTTTATCCCTAGCCTGCAAAACCAGCTTGACAGCAAACAGCAGCCTTATGGATCTTCTTCTTGTGTTCCTGAAGGGAACCATCTTCCTCTTCTCATTGCAATTTTTAAAGTCATTATTGCTGTAAATCCTACAGGCATCAGGTAAGAAAGTTTAATACCCACGAAGTTGCCTGCAACATAGCAACCAAAGGATAGCCAGACTTAATGTCGCACGTGACATGTATTACACCCATTACACAAAGCTCCGCCTCTCTTGCATGAGTGGTTGAGGAGAAACTGGACATCCAACAGAACTATGACGAGAACATGACAAGAGCAGCTTGCTCCTGTCTTAGGTATCCTTGGACCATTTTTCTACCAGGCTGGTAGTAGAAGTAGATCTACAGGGGTTCACCATCATCTAAATCCAGCAGTTTGGGTTCCTGTCTCTGTGGATAGTGGTCAATATCCTGCTGCTCCCACAAAAAATTGGTAGTTTTTGATGCACTCGCTGGCAAATAACTGTGTGGGAGTGGAGACCAAAGAACGCTCCTGCCCCTCCTGATGGTCCACCAGGCTGGAGTGGGGACCTTGGTGGTCTGAGCCTGACTGGTTTTTCCAGGTCAGAGCTCAAGACGAGGTGGTGGGCTTAGTTGGCCCAAAAATTGTCTTGCCAGGGCAGGAGTGAAGAAAACAGGCTGGTTTCAAAACCCTGCCTCACCACTCCCTGGGTGATTTGGGCCAGGAGGAGGGAAGGTCGCGTAAGGTACTTGGCAGAAGCTGGGAAGTGCATAAGGGGAAAGACGCTTTGTTTCTGCCGGCAATTGCCTACTCTGGCAAATGCAGCAGCAGGTAGGGCCCTGGCCAGGGGGCTAAGGGAAGGGCTGTGGCCGTAACCCCTCGCCATTCTTTGTCTGCCATGCAGATTAGGTGGAGGGCTTTTCTGGCTCAGCGTTGCTAGGCTCTTCCCCCCTATTGACTTGGTGGAGAGGCTGAGGGGGGTGGGAGGGAGGGACTGCATTATATTGTTTCTTTGAGTTGTTTTTTTTCCCCCCTCTATGGGGAGATGGGCTTGATCCACTGGTTTTAGATTTCAGAGGCAGAAGGCAAGACATGACCAGCTGGTGTCTTGAAATGGCACAGGTGCAATGGCTGCGGGAGGGGGGAGCCAGGAATAATTACAGGTTTCTGAAGCATCAGGCTTTGCCTGAAAAGGGCTCATCGAGAAACTGCTCTTTATGGAAAATTAATGATGAAGCTGGAAAAAACTGTCAGGCCCACTATTGTTGTTGTGGGGTAGTGATGCCTTAAAGGAGCAGCACCTCCTGCTCGCCTCCCCTCCATGGGCAGCCCAGAGCTGGCGTGCAGCTTTCTGATCCCACAGCAATTGAAATTTCATGTCACTGTCATCAGATTTGATGGCCTTTAGTCCGTGTCTCGCTTTTTTTTTTTCCCCTCCTTCCCCTTTCCACCCCTAATTTGTGATTATGCTTGCTCTTTCCTTTGGAAGCCTTTTATTTATTAGGCCCCTAAACCTGTTTCTGCTCCATGGAGTGAAGGCTAAGTGGGCCAGAAAGCCCAAATTACATGATGTGGGGAATCCAAAAGCATCACCTCTCGTGGTGGTGGGGGTTATTGCTGAAAGACTGTGGAGCATGTTGGAAAGCTGCTCCCAAAACCTGTTAGGATTCATCTGGGGAGAGACAAGATCCCCAGCTAAAGCTGTTCCTCATGGTCTCAGAAATGCACTTTAGAAAGAAAATGGAAAGGTTGCCTAAGGCAAGTATTAACTGGTAAGTTTCCCACCTCCAGGCCTGTGTGCAGACACACTGTACATACAGTGTCATGCCTCTGAAAACCTATGCGCTAAAGTATAGTACTTGCATATATTGCCATTCTATTGCTTTTTGTCCAAGTCCATCTCTACAGCTCAGGTCTATAATCATCTATTATTTTAAAAACCCCAAACAAATAACTGTCTGGCAAATGCTGTTGCGAACTCTGAAAGTCATCCCACCACATTGTATCTGTAACTAGCAGCGCTGCTTCCTGGGTACATTGAAAGTAATAATCTTGAATTACCTGGCGGCTCCTAGAGACCTGTGAGTGGGGCCTCTTTACGCTCCTGTTGGTGGGACCTCTGTACCCAGAAGGCAGGAGTCTCTGTCTCAACTCCGGTTGTATGAAGCTTTTGTTTCTTGGATCGGATCTTGATCAGATCTGTCCAGGTTGAGACATAGTTGGGTTGCCAGCTCCCATAGACTGAAAATTTTTGCCTAAAATCCCTTTCTTAATATCTCTAGAAGTGTTCTCTGAGGAGTAGTGTTCAGAGGTTTCTAAAAAGTATTAGTTAGAATGTCTCTTTCTCCAAGTCCTGTAAAATCGCAGTGGTGATATTAAACCAGCTATCCTTTCAGGCAGTGAGAAATGAAAAATAGCACTAATAAACTCCATTAAAAGCTTCTGAAACTACAGCAAACGGTTTTCTATAAACAATAAAAGTTTATAATGTTGGTTATGGAGAACACTGGGCAATGTGATGGTGCCTGGAGGCTCTATTTGGGCTAGCTCAGGGCACCTCATAATAAGGTACATTGAAGTAGGAAGCTCACCCCATCCTTGTGCTGATGATCACTGCTGTGGAGATGCAGGAACACGTTTTTATGTGGCAGCCTCTTTGACTGCAGCTTCACCTGCTTTTTAATAAGGTACGTGTGTGTGTGTGCAAGTCTGGTGTCCTGTACACAGGAAGCCCTGTTTGACCAGATGCACCAAAAACCCTCTAAAACTGACAGTAGGTCTCTTTTTTTCCTGTCACATCTTTCCTTCTCTCAGGCCCTTTAAACAAGCTGTGGTGTCACTGGAAATTTGTCTCCTGTCTTAAAATGTTACACTTCAGAATTGTGCTGTTTTAGGAACAGACTGGGCCCCAGCCAACTACACTGAGTTAAATTTGGAGTGAAAGTTATTGTTTGTGAAGGAAGAGGAAGCAGTTCTTTGGAGAGGTGAATTTTTGTACATGGCCAGGCGCTGAGGCCATTAGGATAGTTTCATATGGAAGTGACTGTTGGCCAGATTACACTTAAAATTGGGAAGGCCCTGGCATCCATGGGACAATGTACAGACTTTCATGAAAAGATAGTGGATGATTTCTGGTTGTCATCTTTACTTCTACCATAATATCTGCTAGTGTACATGGATATTCCCACACTCTGTCTCAGAACAGCATCAAACAAGTGCCAAATCCTCATGTCTCCCAAAATGTGACCATATCACGAGAAGGTGCTGGTGTCCATGAGTGCTGTCTCTGAATGGCTCTGGACCGCCTTGTTCTCCTGCCCTAGGTGGGAGCTATGCTGTAATCTCGCTCTAACAGTGGTTTCCATCCCTTCCCTCTCCCTTTCCCTCCTGCAGACATGCCTGGAGTTGGAGCGATACCTTCAGACTGAACCACGGAAGATCTCTGAGACCTTTGGTGAGGATTTGGACTGCTTCCTTCATGCCTCCTCAACCCCAGATGCAGAGGACAGTATCCGACGGCTGGACCCCATCCTTTTACCAGTGGAGACGAGTACATGTGACAAAAGCACCAACATGGACATTATCCTCTCGCGGGACAAGCTGCTGTCTGAGACGTGCCTCAGCTTGCAATCCACCAGCTCTTCCACAGAAGGCTACACAGCCGTCAATCAGGCCCAACTCAATGCAGTAACCTCATTAACACCCCCTTCCTCTCCGGAGCTCAGCCGCCACCTTGTAAAAACCTCACAAACTCTCTCAGCGGTGGATGGCACAGTGACATTGAAATTGGTGGCCAAGAAAACTTCACTCAGCTCCGTGAAAGTGGGTGTAGCAACAGCGACAGCGGGAACGATAAAAAGCGGGCAAAGTGACAGTGAACAAGGAGGTACAGGGGCAGAAGCATCCCCAGAAAACAAGAAGAGGGTTCATCGCTGTCAATTTAATGGGTGCCGGAAGGTTTATACAAAGAGCTCCCACTTAAAGGCTCACCAGAGGACTCATACAGGTATTTGTGTAGGATGCTTCTCTCATCTTGTCCTCCTGCCACCTAACTGTAACCATCTGCTTTTATTCTGATTTAGAAAGGAAAAAAAACCTCTTCTGAAAGTCCAAGTTTCTGTCTATGAAACAGGGCAGTGGAAAAATATGGTAGGCCAGCAAATGTACCTGTTGTTCAACAGAGGGGTTCACTGTCCACCATTAACCTGTTGGGGTTTTGTGTGTCTTATGGGGCTTGATGCAGAGTAATTTTAGGATGCCTAGAGGATGTAGATGTATCGTTCATGTTAAAACTGTGGGCATGCCAGTTTGGGGTTTTGGCACTCACTTCCCCAAGACAACTTTAAAAATGTTAATTTTAGTTAAGTGTTAATTGCTTCAAATAGAAAATAGTGTGGGTAGGTTTTTGTTGCCTTTTGTATAGGGAGAAGAGAAAAATGTATTTCAGATCTGAGATATACGGTTTAGGAATAATGTGTGCGTGAGAGAGCATGTGTGTAGATGCAGATGTGTAGGTAGGCAGATGCACATACTCTTGAGATATGATCTTGGACTTCTCTGGTGATAAAATACAGTGAGAACAAATGAAAGGATGACATAGAGTGTGAATGGAATAGCGTAGGTGGTGAGTGAATAGGATGTATGGAAAAATGTCAGGCTGTTATTTTGGGTAATATTTACTAATTTTGCATATAAGCTCCACTGTGTAAGCTTCTAGAGGCATTCCGAATTGGCTTAGGTTTGGCTGTTCAGGATCCCCACTCTCCTGTCATTTGTTCATAGTCCCCAGTAGCTTTTCGGCTGGTATTCATTGGCAGTAATAGCTGTGCAGTTCATGTGCGTTGCTGCTTTGTTCTGAGCTTCACATGCGATGTGAGATGATAAATTCCCATTAGCACTGTCTTACCATGTGATTATTCTTGTTTCTAGAGGGATTGCTGTAATCAGTTTTCTCAATTTTACTGTAAAATGTGTGGTCTCTTACGATAACTGCACATTTAATTCATGATCTTATCATACAGGCAGATTCTTAGAAGCGAAGTTGTTCTTGCAAGGTAGAAAATAACATGTTAGACCAGTGCAGTAAATCAAACAAATGTGTGGGTTGTTAAGAGAGCTGCATCCATCAAATACTAGGCAGCCCCGTGAAAGTTACATGGTCTGAAGTATAAATCATATTAAGACATAAAAGGCATTGGTTTTGATCTTTTTATACGGGCTTTCTAGAGCTTTTACTGGGGATAGCCACCTTGCCAGGAGTGACCTCACTAGTGATCCAGTGATTTGAAAGACAGTGAAAGGAGTGCAGTCATTTTAAAATCTGCAGCAACGTAGTCAGGAGGCCCCTCGTAGTGCCAGTGCTGCTGTGAGGCTGGCCCCCGCCTGGGCTGTCCGGGGGTATGTCCCAGCCAAGGGCTTCCAGCAGGTGACAGAGCTCCCCTGAAGGCACAAATGCAGAGCATGAGAGCCGTTGACGCGGTGGTCTTGTCTGTTCAGATGTGACCCCTGCGTTCCTCCTCAAGCTGGAAGTGATGGGTCTTACCCAGCTCTTCCTGAAGTTAGTCAGGGATGTGACAGGGTTGCCTAGAAAGGGTGAACTTACGGAGTTTTTCTGGTTTTGTCACCCACTAGGTGGGGTTATGGACAAGGAGTCCTGAGAGACCGCTTGCAAAAACCACTGCTCTTTCAACACCTCTGGCCTTTGGAGTCAAAATCTTACAAGATTTTGCGTGCTTTTGAACCTAGCCTTAGGTCTGATTGAATTTTGTATCTGAGGTCAAAACCTTTCCACTCAGTAACATCAACATGTGAAATCTTATGTTGCACAATTAATCCGTCAGAGGAAACATTTCCCACTGGCGCTGTGATACTTCTGTTGAATAGCCTTAGACTGTATGTACGCAGTGTCATTGACATGTATGTGTCTGCCCATCCACGGCAGTGCTCAGCAAGGTGAGGAAGGCAAGTCCACCTTTGCTGGCAGATGGGGAAGACCTGTATCAGATGAGACTGATGCTGCCTGGGTGCAGTGCCCACAACCACTCCCAGCACCTCACCTAGTAGGTTCAGTTACCCCTCTGATCTTGCCAGTTAAACCATCAGTGGTTTAACCAGCCCCTAAACCATTTACTAGTTTACGGGAGTGTTCCTGTTTCCCTCCGCTGAGTCCTAAGCAGGCAGCATAGGTTGTTAGGAAAGCAGGAAGGCAAAAGACAAGAGGGAATACAAACCTGGATGAGGAGCTCTGCTGTCTTTGCAGCCATGTAAGCACCCTGCACCTGACTACGTCCTAGCTGTGCATAGCTATGTAGAAAGTGTGGTTGCATTTTGCGACGAGGAGACGAGGACTGGATGCAGCCTTGTTGTTAAAATACATTTTTGATGCAGAACGTAGGAGCAGGTAGACACTCGATTCCCATTTTTCTCTGTGAAAAGCAGATTGTCTAAATACCTTTGAACATTTACGTCTTGGGAGCAATCTGAGTGAATCAAGGGGAGGGGTGTGACAGGCTTATCTAACTAGCTTATTTGAGTCCAAAGCACAGAGTCATTCAGGCCCCTTCATCCTGCTTAAGTGCTCTGTTGCCTTAAAAAACACTGACCATTGGATATCTTAAGTCAGAGCTGGTACAATCAAGACGTTTAATCTGTTCATGCTGGCCACTGCACTGGGATTTCCCCACAGGGAGCTCCTGCCTCCCATAAAAGACAGGGACAGAGAGGAATAGCTGTGGAAATTTGGGACTGAATTATAAATGGCAGGGCTGCCTTCTTTCCCATGCACACCTTCAGGGCTAGGGACAAGGAGCCCTTTTCTCCGTCGGTGCTTTGGTTTTTTCACAGCGTGAGCTGAGTGTGCTGTGAGTTGCGAATGCACCCAGCAGTGCCAATGGCTAAAAGACACCTTGGTTTGGTTGGCAAAGTCCCCAGGAGGGCCAATTGTTTTTTAGCCACTTGGCTTAGTCAGTGGCTGAGCCAGAGGGTCTGAATTGATTGCGAGATATTTTCCTTTGGCTGGTAGTTTGTTAGTATGTCATGCAAGAACAGTCTGCCAGTGCGGGCTCTGTGTAAAAGGGTGTGAGTGCCCTGAGAGACAAAGAGCTCTCAGTGTGGGGTTCACAGGCAGAGAGGCAGATGCGAGCTGGTCACCCAACTTGCACGTGCAAAGTCCACTTGCTGGATCAAAGGGATTTACTGCAGTGCATGAAAACAAGAAAACCATGGACTGGGGAGCTGGGGGGTGGAAGGCGGCGGAAGGAGGTTGCGTTCCTTTCATTCATATGTAAGGCTGACCAGACAGATGCTGGCTGGCATTCCTCACTGCTGCATGATGAGCCAGGCTGGGCTGGAGGCAATACAGACTGATAGCAGCTTGCTGGGTTGGAGACGATCTTCTCTTAGGGCTTTGCTTTACTGGGGAGCCCAGAAACAGCCAGACCCGACATTACACTCAGTGCATCCCCCACATTACTCTACCGCATCTCATCCGTAAGAGAATCAGGACAGCGCTGTAAGGCCCATCAATGGTTGAACTGGTTATGAAACCACCTTCTGGATGACCTTTTGAGAGGGAAAAACAATCATCTGTGTGGGAGGGAATTTAATCTGGAAGGGAAAGGGAAAAACATTGTCTGGATGGAAAGGGAAATGAAAATATTTGACTGAATTCAAAGTAAGCTGAGGCATCTAAAGCGAAGGATGTGTGAAGGAGCTAAAAGCAGTGGTGAGACTGACTGTCAGAGGGCAGCAAAGAAGCTGCTTAGGGGAGAAATAGAGGCTGGGCCTGTAAACAGGAGGAAAAGGTGAGCTTTAGGTTTAGAAGGACCATGCCGCCAATGCGAGGGTGAGGTAAAAACATCTTAATGAAGGAGCCACCAAGACTGGCACAGTAGTCCAACCCTAGCACATTCTCTCACAGTTGTTCACGGAGCAGACATCAGTGCAGACAATGACATTTTGTCTCTTTTGAGAGACAGAAGTTTTCGTCGAGCCTTCACGCATGCATGGAGATGAATTGCCAATGTAATGGAGAGTAGAGAGGGAAGGAATTCGAATGAGCCAAAACCCATGTTTAGTCATCAGTACTTCCTAAATTAGAAAACAGGACATTGCTGGCGAGTGTCTGGATGCTAATAAGTCTAAGGGTGAGCTGGCCTGTGACCTATGGAAAGATTAGTCATGGGACATGGCTGAGTCTCCCAGATCAAAGACCTCTGGAGGAGATTTCTGTCTCCTGACAAAACCATTCGTATCAGCCTTCCTTGCAGTAATGTACAGGGGAAGGCATGAGGTGGCGTGGGTGCTTTCTGGTTGGGGATAATGCATCACATATAAACTGAGTAGGAAATTCTTAAGACTGGGATAGTGATAAAAAAATGACCCTTAGAGGGTTCTGCTGGGGGTTGCATTTTATGAGTATCAAAAGGTTTGGGAGTTTTTTATTTATCCATCTAAACTCAGGATCTGATACAACCTAAACTCGAGACTGAGAAACAGCAGTTGGGCACCTCACATCTGTATTTAGGTTTCTAAAGTCCAAACAAGTGGGAAATACTCATGTAAACATATGTTACAAGTCTACATGCAATCTTAAGATAGCACTTTTTAAAGTGGAGTTTGTTTCATATTGTCAGGACATCTTATTTTAAATTATATAGTTCTTTGATCTAAAGTGTGGGGTGAGAGTAACTAAAACAAACAAATCCACCCTGCAGGGAAACAAATTACTACATTTTCAAGAAAAAGATGAGAGATACAAGAGTATTAGAAAGACCATGAATGAACAGGAAGGTTTTTGAGACAGGATTTGATACAACAGAGAAGAGCTTTCCCAAAGCGTTGGAGATAGAAGAGAAAATGTCCAGAATTTGGAAATGATCGGAAAAGAGCAAATTGAGGAGAGTAGGCTGGTTGATAGATAAAGAAGATTAATACAAAGTAAAGGAATAATAGAGAAAACAAAGACTATCTCTGTGTCAGTGATACCACATGAACGGAAAGCTGTAT